TTTTTGAGAGTCAATGAAATAATGAAATAGAACGCACAACCAATGATTAGAACGCTAGGGATATTTTTTTTTAATGAAGCGAAATATAGCGAAGAGAGTTACTTTGTAGAATATACCCCAGCCTCGATTTTATCCGAGAAATTTGGTCTGCGGAATAGTATTTGTTTCAAACCCAGTTAATAAAATCCTCAGTTAAGTATCGAAATAAATAAAAATAATATCCCGATCAATTTTAATCGAAAGTTCATCAAAGCTATTTTACCAAAAAACGTGGTGCATCGATGTATCGTCACTATTTTCCAATAATGCCGCTAATTTTGAAGTATTTAGTTGGTATTAACGACCGCATGACTGAATGAAAACTCTATGACGCATTCCAAAAATTGTCTAATTGTGGAATAAATCAACTCCATACAAAAATTTATTCTGACGATTTATTTGGCTATCAGGGCTTGTGCAACGCTTTTTCCGCAGATCTAATTTTTTTAGATAAAATCATGTCGAGCGTATGGACTATTATAGGACATTTCTAAAGAAATTATACAAAAAGAAAAGATGTTAAATCTGATCCACCGCAGACTGAATTGAACACAGAAGATTATATTCAATTTGAACATAAGCGTGTTAAACGACTGATGTACACAAGCCAAAAAAAAGTGAAAACTTACTTTTCTTTTCCTTTATCTTTATTGAAAATTCATTAGATGTTACACAGGAGTTGTCTAAACTCACAAGAAAAAGAAATCAGAGAAATATTGAAGATACTATCGATAAATAAAATGTCGATTAGCAGATGAGAAATAGCTACTTTTGTCACAAGGTCGAAAAAAACTGTTCTGACGAGTGTGAGGATTGCACTGATAGAAAGGATTGGTCATTATTAACGAATGGATTTGGTTAAATGGAGAGAAATGTTCAGTAATAATTACGGAATTCACAGTTCGCTTAGCGATTACGAAATCGACTCGGAAAATTTAAGTGCCGATATCATAATTTTTCACAGGAGATTCAGATAAAAATTACGGAACGCTCTGGAAAAATTCCGTGACAGTTCCGTAAAATTTCCTACAGCCACAATTCGCTCCGGAATTATGGAAAAGGTACGTAATTTTTCTTGAATATTCGAATGGTCATTCGTTAATAGTTAACATATCCGCATTTGAGGAGCCTTGTTTCACTCGATTTTCATTTTTCAAGTGAACCATTTGTTAACTATTAACGAATATTCATTTGGTTATATTCAACTCTACCATTCGTTAATAGTTAACGAATCTCGTTTGGAATAAATGAATCAGTCTATCAGTGTCCAGACCGAAGCGAAGCCGAAGAATGCAATCACACGAGATAAAAAAGTTGTTTTCGACCGATTGACGAACATAATTTTTCTTCACAATGTCTGTGACCCTGGTGGGAGATGAGAGACGGCCCAGATTAGGCCGAGGGTGGCCCAGTGCTGGCCAACATTGGGCCACCCTCGGCTAATCTTGGCCCATTCCTCATTTCCTACTAGACAAATGGTGTAAAGGACTTTTTTTCAAAATGTCCATAAACCGTTTTTGACGGACACAAAGTGTCCCTAACGCATGAAAAACGATTGACTATAGTCTCGGTTGCACCAAGCCCAGTTAAGAAAATCCTCAGTTAAGTATCGGAATAAATAAAAATAATCTGCCGATTAATTTTGATCGAAAGTTCATCGAAGATATCGCACCAAAAAACGTGGCGTATCGATGTATCATCAGGTATGATTGCGACTCCTTTGGCGGCCCGATTTAACATATCAGTACTGAAGTGGTAAACCGGTATAAGTCGATTTTGACTATTGCCCAGTTTTCAATGAATATCTCAAAATCTAAGTGAAATAACAAAATTTTTGTCATAACCTTTTTTCTAGAGCAAATTGAGAGCTACAAAAAAGGAAATTACAACAATTTCGCTATTTCCCTTAGATTCTGAGATATTTATTGAAAACTGGCCAATAGTCAAAATCGACTTATACCGGTTTACCACTTCGCTACTGATATCTGGACCTCCGCATGAAAAGGGACCACTTTGGCACTATTGGAGTTATGTAGATTCCCATAATCTTGATCTGATTCTGAACATTTAGAGCCCAAAATGAACTTGATAGCGTAAAGAGTGACGACGCTACAGAAGATCGAAAAAATTATTTAACATGGGTTTAAATGGGACTTGGCAAGAGAAACACGTGAATATCTCGAAAATTTTGGGATAAATATTCCTCCACTCTTCCCTCCTCATATTTCAATTATCAATAGGTAAACTAGTGAGATCACCTTTTGATTTTGAGTTTTGTTGCTTGTGAGTACATGAACTGGTGTCTCAAATATAAGAAGTTTCATGGAAATGTTCGTATCTTCAAAAATAAGGATTGAAATGCTGATATCCCAAAAACTAGTTGAGAGAAATTTTTTTCTGCATTTTTTGCGTATTTCTGATGGAAAAATGGGATGGAAAACATATGTTAAATAGCGGCGCCAGAGGAATCGTAATCTTCCCGATTTATTTGGCTAACAGGTCTTGGTGCAACCGACCCATAGGAATTTATAAGGGCCAGATAATTTGCAAGGGAAACATCAATTAAATAAAGAATCAATTTATACTTTTCATATATAAAATTTGATTGAGGATTGCATGTAATTATGTACAATGCAGTCGATGAATAGAAATACATTCTTCTGTTTCCACCATAGAAGAATAAATAAATAAATAAATAATTCTAATTAATTAAAACGGGTCTGAGTTGTTCAATTAACAATTCCCTTATTTCAACTAGTGTAATCCATAATTATCGTATAATAAATTAATTTACATCGTTCTATGTTTTTTACAACAAGTGGACTCCTAAGATCACTATTCAAATTATTTACAGTAGAATTTTCATTCGGAGTAATGCACGAGCCCAAGAAATTTATTCTTTTTATTTGGATTAGAGACTAGAGAGAACTCATTTAATCATCGATATTCATTATATAAATTGCTTCAACATTTTTTATCTCTTCAATCCTGTGACAAGGGAGTAAAACATGTCTCTTTTTTTTCTTCTCTTCAAATGGTTTATTTCTCAAGATACATTCAGTAGCGAAGGGCTAAAACGGTTCAAGTCGACTTAGTCCTCAGCTGAGTTTTCGAGGAATATCTCCAAATCTAAGAGAGATAACGCAATTTTCGTAATAACCTTTTTTGTAGTCTGAATTAAGGGCTACAAAAAAGTATATGACAAAAAATTTTCTATGTCCCTTAGATTTCGAGATATTCATTGAAAATTGGCTGATAGTCAAAATCTACTTGAACCGTTTTATGGCTTCACTACTGAATTTTCGTTTAATGCCATTGGTCGTGCGCCGCACCAACATAAATCAACATAATGATAAATTTGACAGATTTAGGAAAAATCTGAAAAAAATCAAGAGTGATATAGATCGTATACTTGAAGAAGTCCCGTGAGATTTTTTTATGTTTTGTGTCACCCTTAATTATATATTCAAGCTCAAAGTTACCATGTGTTTTTTTAAATTCGCCTTATACACGGTATACGGCCCGAAGTTTCGGAATAAAAATTTGAAAATCTAACTACTTGTGATATTTTTGGCGGATATTTTCATTGATAGGGCTTCTAGACATTTCAAATTGAGATGTCAAATTTTTCTGAGGCACAGTGCAGTTTAAAAATCGGAAAAAGTTTGGCGCGGCGCTCATAGTGCGACCAACAAAGTGTTAACAAGAGTAAAACTCCTTTTGCTCTTTCAACGTGAAACGGAACCCCTGTGTCTACATAAACTTTTAGAATTGTTTTCTCCTGCAATTATTATTTTTTGTTTATTAAACTAGTTCATTGACTCAACAATGCAATGATCGAGTCCACGGAGAGAAATGTTCAGTAAAAATTATGGAACTCACAGTGCGCTCACCGATTATGAAATCGACTCAGGAAATTTAAGTGACGGTATCGTAATTTTTCACAGGAGATTGAGGTAAAAATTACGGAACGCTCTGGAAAAATTACGTGATTTTAGGTAAAAATTGCGTGAGAGTTCCGTAAAATTTCCCACAACCCCGTTGCGCTCCGGAATTACGCAAAAAAGGCAATTTTTATTGAATATTTCTTTGCCTATCGATAAAATAATTTCACAGATGTAAAGCAATAATTCAGTAGCGAAGTGGTAGAACGGTTCAAGTCAATTTTGACTATTGACCAGTTTTCAATGAATATCTCGGAATCTAAGGGAAATGATAAAATTTTTGTTATAAACTTTTTTGTAGAGCCAATTGAGAGCTACAATAAATGTATGTTTGAAACGCAACTAAAATTCCAGAACATTCTGGTCGATTATCGGCCTACTTCGAAAATCTCCGGGACCCTTCGGGTCATCAGTCATAACTCACCGAAACACGCGCGAATCAGTTTAGGCTTAGCCTCTCACCGTACAAGTCTATCTCGGGCAAATCACCTGTACAAGTTCTATATCGCACCTCACCGAGTACAGTAGTTCTTTGAACCTCACCTGGCTCACTAGTAATCAAGTACATCACCGGTCTTTGTAAGATCACAGTTTTGTTCAGTACATCACCTCTGTTAATTAAATTCAGTCTAAATTCAGTGACTCAACTAATTAACAGTGAAAGACAATTACCAGTATAATTAGACATTCAACAATTGAATTACCAAAGAGTGTAAATAGTTTTGACAAAGTGGTTCGATCCCACAAAATAAAGTGTGATATTTTAAATCCGGCTCATCAGTAATTTTCCCAACATCTCCCTCCACATTTTCATCCCACATCCACCCTAAATCTAGTCATTCACCAAACAATGTAATTACGAAAACTTCGCTATCTCCCTTAGATTCGGACATATTCTTCAAAAACTCAATTGGCAAATAAGTCGACTTAAACCGTTTTACCACTTCGCCACTGAATTGTAGGAGAAAATACAATTCTAAAAAATTTTTAGACACAGAGGTTCCGTTTCCTCTCAAGTTTTACAATTTTCTAGACGGATTTATTTTCCTCAATATTTTCAAGTTAAAGCTAATATCAACATTGAGTAATTATCAGTTGATGCGCTCACACCACCTCTTGAATTTTAATTTTTTCTTTCAATTTTTAATGCACAATTCCGCTTTTGGCTGAATACTCTTTGTTTTGAGATTTCCATCCAATTTCATTTTTAATATTTGAAATTCGAGAATTCTCTTCCTTGTCGACAGGACTAGACTATCGATTTGCATTTCGGTTATGCCGGCCTCGTGGCCCGCACCATGTCCCCCAGGAGTCTCTCGACGCTGACATCGCCGACTGTTGGTTTGAACAGCAGTTCCTGCAGAGTTCCACGGCAGAGAGCACGCGCCGGGGGTAACAGCAGGAGGAGGCGTCCCACCCTACCGGCTCCCCGCTCCCCCAGGACTGTGACCGTTTGCTCTTGAAGGGCGGAAACCCTCGCTGAATCACACAGTCCTCTGGACTCTGAAAATGAAAGAATAATTCACCACATGAATCATCGTTACATAATATTAATTTGATAAAATTTTCCGCCCTGATTTTTATCCTCTTATTTTTATTCCATTATATTAATAGAAGATATATCCAAGTATCTTTTACAGTTTGGTACAGGCCACACTACAGATTCATCCATTTTCAATCACGAGACCGAACGCGCGCTACAGCGCGCTGTAATTGTAACAATCATAATTGAAAATCTCAAAATTAAATTAATCAAATTAATAATTTGATTAATTTCAAATAATTAATTTAGGATGTTAAATGTTAAGTGTCCGTTTCTTCCCCCCCCCCATTTGATTGTGATATATTAAAAAAATTTAATACCTCCTTTGAATAACGCAATTGCCTTTAAGCAAGCGTATTCGGAATGGTCCACCCGCATAATCGCGAACCTCGTCAGTAATTCCCGGAGTCTCCTGAGTTCCTCAGCAATGATCTGTTGTCTCTCTGTTGGAAGGAGCATCAGGGACACTGATAGTGATTCGTCGATGGTGAAGTTCCATTGGGCTGCTGTCAGCACGAACAGTTCGCTCCAGGACTCTTCAAGGAGAATTGCTTGGTCTCTGAACGATAACTGAGACGAAGAAAAACATGAGTTCGAAATGAGAGTGTAAATTAAACCAAAGAAAATAATCTTTGGGTGGTGATGCATTGATGCAAGTATTGAACAGAGGTATAAAAAGCCAAGCAACATTGAGTGTGATCACTACATTGAGACAAAAACAAACACGTTATTGAAAATTGCCAAAAAAGAATTTTTTTGGTTCGAATTTGAAAGTCTCAAACATGAATAATTGTTCTGCTTTCGACAGCAACGAAATATTCGGCTCAAGAGGCGGATAATTCACACCAGACGGTGCCTTTTCAGGATGAAAATATCTCATGTAGAGGAAAATTTATCAACAAATATTTTATCTCTAAGTTACAAGATTGCTATCATATCATTATTATTGTCTCATTTAGGTGTTCATTTCTTCCAACTGAATTATTTTTCCAACCGCCTGCATTAACATTAAAACACCTCCTACTTCTCCAGGCCATTATGCGGTTCTCAGCACTTTTAAACTCCAAAATAAATAACACCAACAATTCCTTCTCTCTGCCTTTGCCAACGTTTCGAGTGGTAAATCTCACTCCTCAGAGCAACATGTTTATTTTCATCTATACAAAAATAGAAATAAAAATAATAAAAAACTAAAATCCAACAATTTCCAGTCAATTCTATTGCAACAACTATTACCAAAATAATAAATCATGAGCATCAATTAATTCAAGGACCTCAAAGAAACTTACGCATTTAAATTCTCCTACTTATCTACGAAAAAAACCATCAATTTCTCCGACCCCTCTTCATAATATACAGTCAAGTGTTCATTTCTTGTCTGTGATTATTAGACAGCCGAAACGAAAAACAACTATCCCTTATTTCGCATGAAACAAAGATTTTTCGGGAGCAAAATACGTATGGGAGTATCGAATAACGAATGAGTAGTGGTAGAAATGACATTTCTTGCGTCTACAGAGAATGATTTTTTTTATTGAACTACTAAATCTATTTTTGGGACAAAAATTTTTCACTCCAGGCGAACTCTGCCTGTTTGGCACAAAAAATACTTTTTTGATAATTTTCAAAAAACTATTTTCTTGGCAGAAGTAAGACTTGTTTGAGAACTTTGTCGTTTTTATCTCACTATAAGTGAATCGGTGGCCACGTGCAAAATAGTTGGGAAGAAACAGCAAAATAATGCTTCAAAGGGAAGATGACGAGACATTGAGGATTGGTCACTACTTTACTGGTAAGATATCCATTTTACCTCTAGAAATGATGGGATACTCCGAGCCCATTTAACAGCGAGGAACAGGAGTTTGGCTGCAGATTCATAAACGTTCTCTGTGGGGAGAAGTGGTTGGTTGGAGCCACTGTACTCCGGTAAACTCGTGGTCATCCCTGGGGGTGGGGCTAGTCGGAGGGAACTCCTGAATCCGATGGTATCTACAAATTTATGATTCACATTTCATCCTTTTTGATCGTAAGTTACATGAATATTTGGCTCCATCACATTCAGAAGCTGGCTAACGTGTTTCTGAATCGCGTATCTATCATGACGAGTTTCTGAATTTCAAAACTCGAAACTTTTTTTATGATACAATTTTTTGCGTCTCTAGAGTAAATAAAGTAAAATTTATGAAATTTAAAAGCCATTTATTCGTGATTTATTACGAATGAAGTAAAACGGAGGCTTAACTTTGTTATTTGCAGTGTAACAAACATTTAAAAAAAACTAAAATGGTATAAAATCTACGACGCAAGGAGCATTTTGAAGGTAAGAACAGGAAAAAATAATTTTTTTTTTGGTTGTACGGGGCAAAATCGATCGGGTCCGCGATTTTCCCTAGTTATTCCCATACTCCGCCATACATCACAAACTGTTCAATGGGTCTCAAGGACCAATGAAGACTTAAATTTCACCGACGTATCCCCTTAATGCCATTAAGTCGAAGTTAAAAGATGATTACGATCGAGGGGTTACTCACTCCCGAAATCATGGGGCTACCCTGGCATGAAATCATTCCGAAATCATTCTTGAAATGATCTCCGAAATCACGTGAAATCATCTCAGTAGGAAAGTGGTAAAACGGTTCAAGTCAATTTTGACGATCGGTCAGTTTTCAATGAATATCTCGGAATCTAAGAGAGTTAGTAACATTTTTGTTACAACCTTTTTTGTAGAACCGATTGCGACCTACAACAAATGTAATTACGAAAATTTCGCTGTCTCTCTTAGATTCGGAAATATTCCTCAAAAACTCAACTGGGAGATGAGTCGACTTAAACCGTTGCACCACTTCGCTACTGATCTGAAATCGATGAAATCACCAAAATCAGTGGCGCACTGGCGTAGTGCGAACCGTGTAAGTAATTCGTGATTTCACAATTGACACGCCTGCCAACGATGATAATAAAATGCCGTACTCGTTGACGTAGTAAAGTAGTAAAATGGACCATTTTTCATCGTCATTAGCTCAAGATTGGCGGAGTGGAATCCAACGAACTCGTTATCATTTGCCATATATTATTGCCGGCTTTGAATTTCATAGTGTGATACAACCCGCTTTGCCCCACGTCTATTATTTATTAACTTTATTTTTCTGAAATCACAGATTTTGAATTAAATAAATCATTCGAAATTATGAAATCACCTCCCGTGACGCTCGAAATCACCGAAATCATTTTGTTCCGAAATCACTGAAGTCACCGTTGAAATCACCCGAAATCGATTTCATTATGAAAGCATGGTGTCACTCAATTATAGAGTGAGTAGCCCCTCGATTACGACAGCTATATTGGTTGATTTGATTTTTATTGTGATTGTTGAAAATTCGAATTTTTCATGGATTTCCTGAAAATTCACTGAACGTTTCAGATTTCTTCTCTTCCATTCCTATAAAAATTTCCGAAAAACGATTCCCCATTGCGAATTGCGTGAATTGTTCCGTAATTTTTACTGAATATTTCTCTTCGTGTAATTTATTAGCAAAAATAACTGTACGATATACAATACAAGAGCAATTTCCCACTTGTTTTCACTTATATCGTAATATACTATTCTTTGTGAAGATACCTCTCATGTGGGATATTCCGCGAAGCGAGAGTGTTAGGAAAAACAGTACTATTTAAATGTCAGGGAAGAAATGTGTGAGGAAGAAATGGTACGAGGAAAGTTTGGGGTAGAGGGAGGGAAATGTCGTGGAAGAAAAATGAAAGCGAACCAAATTTCGCACGTCCCCTCAGGTTCAGAGATTGTTCACCACTTCACCGCTACAAATTTTTCCAATAACTTCTCGTTTTATCTTCTTTTCGAACCTTTCTGTTCACTTCCACGTATACTGCTAGCTTCCTCAGAGCTCGTCACCTCGTCCTCCTTCGCGGCAGTAGTGGCCAGTGGTTCCGGCGTTGGTCGATGCAAAAAATGAGCTGAAGTAAAAACCTCTGTTGACCACAAAATATCTTCGAGAAAATGTATCGGGGAAAAATAAATTGTGAAGAGGACTTACGAACTCCGGGACTAAAAGTCGGCACCGTAGGCTTGAATGGAAAAAGCCCCGAGTACAGTAGGGGATGGTAGGGGCTGCCAGTGGTGTGGTAGACGTGTGATATACCCGGATATATCGCTGAGGGTGCTCTTCTCACTGCACTAACCAACGACGATGTACTTCTCGGCGCTCTCTCGTGTTGTACCGCTGAAAATGACACTTCCTTCGAAATCCCTTGGAGCATCCATTTACCACCCAACCCTGTCCCCCATTTCTTTGTAAAAATTTTCTTCGGAATATTTTTTGACACATCCACTTGGATTTGAAAAATAGAAATAATATTTCCACCAACATGAAACCATCCTGCAAAAGTTTTCAGCAGTTCACGGACGAAAAAATTTAATACAAACACCTATCGAATTCGTTAGAAAATTCTATTGAATTTCTATTGAACTGTTCTATTAGTTTTTGGCCGATTCTATTGAAATGTTCGATAGAAAATATTCAGTAGAAAAAATCAATAGTATTCAATTTTTCTATATAACTTATTCTATTGAGATATTTTCTACAAAATTTCCTCGGCTCAAATTTTCTGAGTTTTTTCAAAGAAAAATAGAATGAAAAAATGTGGCGCGAGCCACAAACGAATTATTATGTCGAATTTCAATTAACGCGTCTCGAATTTTTGTCTATTGTCATATTCGAGACAAATATCATCCTATCCTTGTTCCTCACGAAATTTCTGGACAATTCTCGAACCTTCCATATTAAAAGGTATATAAAGCCTCGTATTCCCGACCAAAATGTTCAGTCCGATTCAGTCCGATACCGAAACACGATGTAAAGATGGTGCTTGCCTCCACTTTAGTAAGAGGATATAACCAAAACGAACAGAAGAAGAAGAACACAATGTAAACGGTAGCCGGAAAACATAGACCAGGAAAAAATAGCCCACATACCCAAAACGTGTTAAAAGCCACCCAACTTAAAAATTTCCCTTGCTCTATTTTTTCTTTCCATGGTCCATTTTTTCCGGGATTCGACGTAAACACGTCTCTTCAAATCTAAATACAAACGTCTTTATCCCACAACCACGACTTCTTATTTCACGACCCGCACTAAACCGCCACAAAAAAACTTGAGTCGAGCAAATTCTATAGGAAATATATGAAAAGAATAAATTATATAGAAAAATAGAATTCTGATGACTTTTTCTATTGAACGTTTTCTATTGAACATGTCAATAGAATCAGCCAAAGACTAATAGAAAGTTTAATAGAAATTCAATAGAATTTTCTAACGAATTCGACAGGTTTTTCTATTAAATTTTTTCGTGCGTGTTATTGAAAACTTTTTTTTTGTTATTTGCTTTTTATATTGTTTTGTTGTTTTTGTTGTTTATTTATTCAGGACCCAACAGCCGAGGTCAATTGTAGGATCCAATCATATTAGATAATACTCATATACAACAAATATCCATATATTTACAAATAATTCTAGACTAAAGGAGATGGAGCACATCATAGCATGCCATTCACGGAGAGAAATATTCAAGAAAAATTACGGAACATTTCACGTAATCCACAAGCGAGAATCGTTTTCAGTGAAATTCTATAGGAATATAAGAGAATAAAGCTGAAACGTTCAGTAAATTTTCGGGTCGGTCAGCGAAAAAATACGAAAAAGTCACGTAATTTTTCTGGAAGTTATAAAATCTAACAGAAACTTCAAGACTTATTATGCCTCAGAACATGAAAATTCTTGGATGATTACGGAAAATTACGGAACGTGTTGTTAAAATCTCCCCCTCACGGTGACTCATGACTAGCCGTGAGGCGTCGGACGGATGAGTAATTTTCACGGAACAGATCGTAGAATTTACGTGACGATTGACACTTTTTATTGAATTTTAGTTCGCTCCCAGATTACGTTTCGAAACGTAATTTTTACGTCTTTTTTCTGGTAATTTTTATCGAATATTTCTCTCCGTGTTGTAACGCGGCTTAGGTATCCCTCAGGACTTCAACAAAATTATGCGCCTTGTTAACAATTGTAGATATCGAGGACGTTAATGTTTCCGAGGAATCATCATAATATTCAATAAGTTTGTTCACCGAACTGCATGCATAATGCAGTGGTGAAAATGCTCTGTTTTTCGAATCTGGAAGTAAAAGATCGCTCTTCATCTTGAATTCAATGGTGTATTGAATAGTATATTAGTGTACAAAATAGTATATTTCGATTCGAGTGCCTACACGGATGAAAACATTCAATAGAAAACCTAGCAAATTCTCTAGAAAATTCTATTGGAATTCTATAGGAATTCTATGGGGTTTCTATAGGATTTCTATTGGAATTGTATCGAAAAATTCTATTTGTTTTTTGCGTTGATTCTATTGGATATTCGGTAAGAAAAAGTCAATAGATTTCGAATTTCTGTTCGAATTTTTCTCTTGAGATTTTTTCTATTAGAATCATTGAGCACAAATTTTTATTTGAGCACGAATTTATCTCAATTCATGAAAAAAGTTATGTCTTTTTTAGTTCGAAAGATGCTTGCAAATAAAGTTGGAATTAATCATGGAAAAATGTGCAACATGACAATTTCTTATCTCTACTCTTCTCCAAAGAAATGATATCTTCAATATCATCCCAACTAATTGATATCTCGTCTCAATCAAGTGTTTGGATTATCACCCGAGTTGTCGAATGCCCCCTCCGGTGAATCGAGAGACCGCCGGTGTTTACAAAAGCTGTGAACTCAAGCCTGCTCATGACACACCGGAGAGCCACCGAATCGAGTTTCATGTGGGTGGAAATTTTTCTTTCTTGTTTTCTCTACTACCCCCTCATCATGCATTACACTGGCGAGGAGTGATGCATTGTAATGTATTTACTCGAGATGACAGACAAATCGGGAGTGATTCCAACCCCAGTTTTTTTTGTTGATAAAAATGTATCGGGTGACTAGATAAAGTGTTTGATATTCATCTTTCGGGGGGTTTGAATGTTAATGTGGAAGGTCTCTTACCATCTCGCTTCATGTTCACTTCTAGACATTTCGCGAAGCGGCAGGCTTGGCACTGGTTTCGACGGGAGACGTCTACTATGCATTGGCCATTCTCTTTGCAGACGTAATCCAAATTTCTGCAATTATCAACGAAAATTGATTGGCTGATTAAATCAGTAGCGAAGCGGTAAACCGGGGTGGTGAGTCGATTTTGACTATTGGCCAGTTTTTGATGAATATCTGGGAATCTAAAAGAGATAGAAAATTTTTTGTCATGACCTTTTTTGTAGAGCCAACTAAGGGTTATAAAAAAAGTGATGAGCAAAATTTTCCTATCTCTCTTAGATTCCGAGATATTTGTAAAAAAATGGCCAAAAGTCAAAATCGACTTAACCCGGTTTACCGCTTCGCTACTGAAATGATCATGTTGTTTTCATGGCAACTTTTATATTCAGTATTTAGTAAATCACGTGGAAATTTTTTTTTCTGTGAAGGCCTATCCTAGCGCAACCACTGGAAAATTCTACTGAATTTCTATTTGACTTAGACGGTTTGTTCTAATTCTGAGTAATTTTTAGTTCAGTAGTGAAGTGCTAAACCGATTTAAGTCGACGTATCTCCCAATTGACTTTTTGAAGAATATTTCCGAATCTAACAAAGATAGCGAAATTTTCGTAATTACATTTATTGTAGCTCTCAATCGGCTCTACAAAAAAGGTTATAACAAAAATTTAGCTATCTCCCTTAGATTCCGAGATATTTATGAAAAACTGGTCAATAGTCAAACTTGACTTATACAGTTTTACCAGTTCGCTACTGAGTTGAATTCACTGAGAAAAAACATTATTTTTGGCAAGGAATTATTTCCTTGCGAGTAGAATTGACTTTTTCAGGAGCGTATTTAGGAGGCGATCCATGTCCGTCTTCAAATATTACCATATAACTGAATGAATGAACACCCTTCATTATTCTTCAATTCTTTCAAATTTGTGATTTTCTCATGTAAAATAATTTGGAATAATTCTAAATGTTAATAATTATCAATGGAGTTTATTCACCGTCATATGTAGCATAATCATCCCATGAATCATCATAATTGTAATAATTGGAGATGGACTTGAATCACCTGGGAATGACTGGCCTGGAGAAAGAGGTTCCTAAAAACATTAATTCTTCTCAAAATAAAATGATTCCTTGGCAAAAGTATTTCTTTTCTCAGTATCTAGTATCATTGGACTTAATCAAAGTAAAATATTCTCTAATTCTAATCATATCACAATCTCAAATCACCTGCGCACTGAGAAAAAAAATTTCTAATATCTGAAACATATTTTCTTAAGAGAAGTAAATTATTTTCAATGGCTCAAATCTCAGAATGTGTGCATTTCTCGGAACTCGAATAAATTTTCATTCATCACTATCGTTCCGCGTTACGTCATGAATATTTTACATATTGCAATATTGGAAGTGCATAACGAAAAAATCATGAAAACAATAAAGACTAGAAGATTGACGATTCTTCTACGCGATTTAAGTAAGTTCATTTGCGATAAAATCATACTTGAGTACAAGAATATTTTAAAGCATGAGGCCTTTCTCAGCTCATGTGAGTTGAGATGCCTGAAAGAATTAAGCAATTGAAGAAAATTTACTTGTCTAAAGAAAATATGTTTCAGATATTAGAACATTTTTTTCTCAGTGTAGTTACGAAAAAATTGATATTTCATGGACAGTCGACTAGTAATTTTCAGGAGAGTGACATGGAATGTGATTAAGTGGGAAAAATCCGTGAAATTTCAGATTTCACTGAAAAATCAATAAAATTCCAAATTGTTAAACAGCATTGAGATGATAACTCCTCTACCTGTTTGGATTTTACGAGGGGCTACTCACTCTCTGATTAAGTGACACCATGATTTCGAAATGAAGTCGACTTCACGTGATTTCAGGGTTGATTTCAGTGATTTTGGAAAGAAATGAAATCGATGACGTCAAGTAGATCGCGATATGATTTCGTGACTGCAATTGACTTCGAATGATTCCATAGATTCGAAATCAATTATTTCAGAAGCAATGAAATAATTGTAATCCCGATGAATAAAATTCGTCGCGTTCTCTTCCAAAATATTCATTAATTTAAAATGACTTCGGCGTGATTTTAAGACTTCAGCGTATTTTCGGAAACGATTTCAAAAAATTCAAATCATGTCATTTCAGGGATTTCGGATTGATTTCATCACACGGAGAGAATTTTTTTAGAAAAATTCTAGTACGAGTACTGGAAAAAATTACAATCCCCCGGCTGTGAAAAATGCTAGTGCTGTTAAGGTAAAATTTCTTGGTATTTCTGTTAAAATTTCTGGGGATTTCCGTGAAATTTTCACAGAAATACGGGGAAAAATTCACGTTTTCCCCAATAAAATTTCTAGTACTGGCACTGGAATTTTTTCCTGGCCGTCACCTTGCGCCTCTTTTCCCGTGCTAGCACTAGAATTTTTCTAACAAATTTCTCTCCGTACACAGAATGGCGCTATGATTTCGGGAGTAAGTAGCCCCTCGGAATTTTCAATGAAATCATGAATATTCAGTACTGAATTACGATGAATTTTGAATTCATTCACAATTCAAGAACACATTTACCGGAATGTTCTTGATTTCCCCAAATTTGCAGGGAATAATTGAACTAAAGCCTATAGTTTTCATCGATTATTAAATAAAATTCTGAATTTTCATATTATAAAATTTTTATATTATTTCTATTATAGAATCAATTCAAACGAAAATTCTTCTGGTGAAAACAAAATGTTACCTCGCATGTCTCCGAATAGATCTCTTGAAGAATCCCCTGCACCCATCACAGCTCGGCACACCGTAATGTTTTCCCGATGCCTTATCTCCACATACTTTGCACAAAGTAGCATCTCTGTTCTGCTCCTCCATTTTAATTCAACGAAATGACTGAACCTGAAACTATCGATCACATGCACTCGTCAATAATTCTACTCCGCAAAACTGATCGGGAGTAAAACTTTACCTACGAAAAAAAAACAAAAACAGAAGTAAAAGGAAAGTTCAAGAAAGAAGAATAAAAAATTATAGGTTCCATACAAAGTGAAAATAATTCGCCTCATGAAATGATGAATTCGTTGTGAATGTTTAATAATAACTTTTCAGTACTCCAAACACGTAATTTGCTAAACTGGGTATGACAATTTATTGCGAGTGGCTATAAGACGGTGGAAAGTGGCCATTTGGCTTTACCACCATCACCACCAGTTGGGTCTACTCATTCTGCATGTTGTATGAAGATAATCGTGAGCTTTATGTCGAGCTTAGCTACACAATTGCTCAAACGCTACGAAACTTCGATCCATAACTGTATTCTGCAGTGTCCATACGCTACAGTGTCCATCGATACACGAGGGGCAATTACAATTTTTACGTTGACTTTAACATTTTTTTCAACAGAAAAAGACGACAATTAAAAAACAAGGGGACAATGTCATTTTTTTATGTAAATGAACTAGGGGGCTTCGCCCCCTGCTCGCTTCGCTCGCCAACCCCGGGGGGGTTCGCCGCCCCGCTTGCTTCGCTCGCTCCCCCCCAATCCAACTGTCAGCCCCCCCACCGCGTTTGACCCTGGGATCCCCTCCTCCCTTCTAACCCCCCCGACCTTGGGCACCCCCTGACCACCCCTTGACTACGCCCCCCCCCACCTTTAGGCGTCGCCTGAATTGTCTTAAATTTTGCCCTTATTTTTTTCTTATATAGAGAGAAATATATATAAAATCACCCTGTGACCTGTCAGGATTGGGTTGGCTTGAGTCACATCAGGTCACGTCAGATCGGTTGGGGTCACGTCGGCTCGGGTCACGTCGGGTCGACTCGAATCACGTCAGGTCGGCCCCAGGACCACATGTGTCGCCCCAGGGCCGCATCAGTGTCGCCCCAGGGCCGCATCTGTCGCCACAGGGCCGAATCAAGCGTCGCCTGAATTTTGAGCGTCGCCTGAATTTTTGGGCTTATTTTTTTATTATATAGAGAGATATGAGTAATTGCTGATAAATTTGCAATTTGCTTGCGAATGGGTTCTCTTTTTTGAAATTCTTATTCTCTTCTTCTATTTTTTCGTGCCATAGGACTAACATCAATTGAAATGCCATCAATATGTTGGGTGTTATTTTCATGAGTATTATTGGGTATTATTTTAATTCGGGGGCGGGAGGGCAAAATGATTTTTTACGCTCTAATTCTCACAGAACTCTTGGACATTGTCCGAGCGGGAGTCTCAAGGTTTTTCCCTCAAAGTGAGGGTTTTCCTTGGCCCTCGGCGAATGCGGCACAGGGGGTTGGGGGATGGAAAGGGAACAAATCGTGAAAACCCAAGAGCACAGCAAAAACAAATGTTTGAATTTCCTACACCTTTTGTAGATATTTTTCAGACACTAAAAAACGTCTGAATAAAATGAAAAGTTGTCTGAATTTCAAATATGAATTAAAATGTTTGGGCACCGGTTCTTCTGAAATTCAGATACATTTTCATTTTATTCAGACGTTTTTTAGTGTCTGAAAAATGTCTACAAAAGGTGTGTGAAATTCAGACATTCGTTTTTGCTGTGTAATTAGCCCAAGTGATATTTCCGACCGTAATATTATTTTCGGAAAGATTTGGCAACATAATAATAAAGATCGTAATATTTTATATTGTAATAATATTTACCGTAATGCATTGGCGTAATATTTTAGATCATAATATTTTGACCGGTTACGACAACACTAACTAGCAGCCAAAAAATTTCAGATGTTCACTGCTACCTCCATGGGTGCCATAAAAATCCCAATGTTTCGAATACTTCGAATGAACGGGTACACATATTTTCTGTGCAAATTTCAAGTTGAAATCGTGATTTTTGCACAAGCCCACCGCCACCTCCGGAGCATTCTACATCATTTCCAGTCAAAATTAGAGAATGTCAACATTGGACGATTACAATGGAAAGAAAAAATAAATGAAACTAAGCCTTCCAAGATTTTGTTAGAAAGGCCTTTTAAATTGATTATTTCAAAATCAGTAGTGAAGTGGTAAACGGAGATAAGTCGACTGATCTCCTAGTTGAGTTTTTGAGGAATATTTCCGAATCTAAGGGAGATGGCGTAATTTTCGTAATTATATGTGTTATAGCACTCAATTAGCTCCACAAAAACTGTTATAACAAAAATTTTGCTATCGTCCTTAGATTCCGAGATATTGATTGAAAACTGGTCAATAGTCAAAATTGACTTATCTCCTTTTACCACTTCGCTACTGAAATCTATGAAGAATAACTTGATCAGACAAACAAAATTGAAAACCGGAAGACTGTAGCTTTAATTAAATACCGGTTTCATAATTTTTCATTCATTAGAGATAATCGAATTTGAGTCGTAGTGAGCACACACTACGCTTGGTAACAGAAGGGCCCCGTCCGTGAGGGGTTAATCTAGAAAATCTAGAAAATCGCGAAAATCTCCTGGTAACCTGTACTAATTTGGGTCTACATTGTCACCCATGATTCATGCACTGTTTACTCACCGAGGATCGTAACAACACTAACGTGTGAATTCCATCAATCATTGTATCACTGTGAAACTGCAAAGAATGTACTCTTTACAGCCCAGTGAGGGATCCGAAAGGAAGGATTCCGTCACGGACTATTCGAAATTATAATTTATAATTTATAATTTTTTTTAACAGTGTGGGATGTGCGTAGCGATTTCAGAGATCAGAACAATTATCAATTTCAAAATAAGTAAGTATTTAGCTTCTGTTAACTGATAATATTACTCAACAATTTTCAATTACCAAATTAATCATCAATCGAATATTCAAATTTCGAAATAATCTATTAACGGGTAATCGGGTCAGAAGAGTGACCATTACATGTATAATTGAAAAATCCTTTTATGAAAATTTAAAATTATTTATTCAATGGTTAATAGAAGATTTAAATTACGAATTATTTTAATATTTTCAAATTTCAAGTAAGATAATAAAGCCATAGTAGTAGAAACTTTCAAATTTTAATAATATTACAAAATATTACAAATGTAATGATTGTCGACCGATCGCTGAGCGATTTAAGGTACTCCGAAGTCAAACCGAAGCCGGAGGGGTTCAGAATTTCAAAAAAAGGCTCAAATCCGAGAGGTTGCATGATCAACTGATCAAGAATTTCCTGCCACACGGATCCAAACTGGACTAGGAACGTTCAGTCTAATTTTACCAGCTTTAACTCAGTAGCGAAGTGGTAAACCGGTTTAAGTCGACTTATCTCCCAATTGAGTTTTTGAGGAATATTTTCGAATCTAACGGAGCTAGCGAAATTTTCGTAATTACATTTGTTACAGCTCTTAATCGGCTTTATAAAAAAGGTCATAATAAAAATTTTGCTATCTCCCTTAGATTCCGAGATATTTATTGAAAACTGGTCAATAGTCAAAATTGACTTATACCGTTCTACCACTTCGCTACTGAACTGATCAGGATAAGATCAGAAGTGACTGAATCATACCAGATCCAGATAACCATCTCAGAAACTCTGTCGCGAATTGGTAAACAAGGATAAGTGCATTTTTTCGAAAATGCAATTTTTTTGCTGTATCGTGTAGACAACATGACCGAAATTTCCACTCGGGTTCAACTCTAAAAATGGAAATTTCGTGAAATCAATTCTTATCTGATTCAAACAATGAGTTAACAAATAATTTCTTATTTGATTCAAACAGTTATTGCGCACGTATGAAAAAATCGTATAGAGATTTTCTATACGCATTGCGTATAGAATTTCTATAGAATTTTCATGTATAATATTCGGATATTTCTATACGGATATTTTTTATACAAATTATTTCTATACGATTTCTATAGGTTTGATCCTATACGACTCACTGCCACATGTACACGTAGAGAAATTGAAAAAAAATTCTAGTGCTAGCACGGGAAAAGAGGCGCAAAGTGACGGTCAGGAAAAAATTCCAGTGCCAGCACTAGAAATTTTATTGGAAAACGTGAATTTTTCCCCATATTTCTGTGAAAATTTTACAGAAATCCCCAGAAATTCTACCAGAATACCAAGAAATTTTATCTTAACAGCACTAGAATTTTTCACAGCCGGTGGATTGTGATTTTTTCCAGTACTCGTACTAAAATTTTTTTAGAAAATTTCGCTCCATATATAGAAATAATTCGTACAGAAAATATTCGTATAGAAATATCCAAATATCATATACGGAAATCCTATAGAATTTCTATACGCAATCCGTATAGAAAATTTCTATACGATTTTTTCACACGCGATGGCCTTCACCTACATATGAGAATAGAAAACTCAATAACTTGTAAGAATACAATAACTCAAGTCTTTAGAATTAATTATATAATAGTATTTAAAATTATTGGTATCATGAAGCATAAAACATCATGAGAAAACATTTTCTTCTATTACAACGAATAAAACAGCAGTTGTTAACCCTTCTCGGCATAACCACCCGTCCAGTGACTTTTCCAAGGTTTTTTTGTACCATTGAAGAGGAAAGAGTACCGCCCTGGCACGCGCGTTAGCCCTCAGGGCGTTCCTGAAATTGCTCTCCCTCTCTAACCCTATCGCTAATAGGTGGCCCAGGAGGCTTTTGCCACCTGCGCATTTCTCAGGCTCAATAATGCAAGCCACCCCGACACGGAGCCGCCGCCAGACCCGTAGACCACGCGCCTCCTTCCTGAAAGGATATCAGCAGCCCCTCCAGTTCATGCCGACATTCCCTTCACGCCGCGTTTTTTTTCCCGCTTTTATTACGGGTGACTTTTACTTAATGGCAGTGGCGACGTCATAATATTATTATGGGCGGTATCGGGGGTGGTTGACATCGTTTTCAGATTTTTAGGTTTTTCTATGCGATTATTT